ACATCCCTATATGTCCCACAGTCGCCCCGTTGTCGCATACAATGTGCGCTTATCATAGGCGTCTCTCTTTTATGGACACTTGAAGGCGCCTCTCTTTGCCATGCCGGCGCCCCTGTTTCTTATGAATGCACCCTCATGGCATCGATCCATTGCAGTGCAGACCTCTATTGCATGTGGACGCCCATATATGTAGGCCTCAGAGGCACCCCTCTTTCGCATTAAGGCACACCTAAGGGCTTCATAGGCGCCCTTCTATTGCACGTAGGTGCCCTACTGTCTCAGAACCGCTCCCCTTTGGCATGCAGACGCCCATCTTTCGACAGAGGAGCCGCTGTGGTTCTTAAGACGGCATGTTACTCCCAGACGCAGATGGGGCTCTCGGAGTCGGGACCTTCAGTCGATGATGGGTGCCCGCCAGATGTGGACCCTCGGAGACGCCGGTATGGGGCCCTCTGAGATGCCGGTATGTGGCCCTTAGAGACACCGGTGTGGAACCCTCAGATACTTCAGTGTGAAGCCCTTACAATTGCTGGTGTGGAGCTATGAATGCGCTGGCTTAAATCCCTCAGAGGCCGGTACATGGACATTAGAGCTCAGTGAGAGCTTGGCTTGTGTGGTGCCTTCAGTGGCCTTGTGGAGCCGTTAGACATCAACATTCAACATGGTGCTCTCAGGAGCCGGTGAGTCCTCAGAGTCACCGGTGTAGGGCCTTCAGAGCTCCGAGATACTGGTGTGGGGCCCTCAGAGGTGTCGGTGTGGGTCCTTCATATGTACTTATAGAGCCTTGAGATGCACAGGTGTGGTGGCCCACAGAGGCGCCGGTGTGGGGCCCCCAGAGCCACCGATATAGGGCCCTAAGAGACACTAGTATGACCCTCAAAGGCGCCGCTGTGTGGCGCTCATAAACACTGGTGTGGAGCCATCACAGGCGGGTGGAGCCGTTAGAGGCCGGAAAGGGCCCTTAGATGCCTACAAGGAGCCTTCAGAAGCCGGCGTGGCACCCTTATGGGAATAAGCGTGTCTACTTAGGACCCCTTGAGGTGCTCTCATGTGCTCTGTGGGGCTCTACCGAGCCGAAATATGGCCACGGCAAGTTGCCGCCACCTGGCTCTTCGGACTATCATTCTCAGGGGCCTCATCTGCCTAGTTTGAATAGAAGGGCCTCTCAGAAAATCAGTCTCATGGGCCTCCTCTGGCTAGTATAAATAGAAGGGCCTGTTAGACCATCAATCCTAGGGCCTCTTCTGGTTAGTATAAATAGAAGAGCCTCTCAGACCATTAATCTCAGGGGGCTCCTGTGGACAGTATAAATAAAAGGGCCTCTCAGACCATCAGTCTCGGGGGCCTCCCTAGAAAAGTGTAAATGTGGATAGAAGGCCCCCTCAGATTCATTAGGAGTGAACCTCTCTGACTATCAGTCTTAGGGGCCTCTTGTGGCCAGTATGAATATAAGAGCCTCTCAGACCATCGGTCCCAGGGGCCTCTTCTGACTAGTTTGGATAGAGGGCCCTCCCAGACCACCGGTTTCAGGGGCCTCCAGTGGCCAGTTATATGAACAGAAGGGCCTCACAGCCATCAGCCTCGGGGGCCTCTTCTGACTGGTGTGGATATGAGGGCCTCTCATACCATCAGTCTCAGGGGCCTCCTCTGCCTAGTGTGAATATAAGGGCTTCCCAGGCCATCAGTCTCAGGGGACTCTTCAGACTGGTGCCGGATTGAGGGACCTCCCAGTCCCAGACAGAAAGTTTTGGGGGGTCTCCTGTGGCCAGTATGAATAGAAGGGCCTCTCAGTCCATCAGTCTCATGGGCCTCTTCTGCCTGGTGTGATTATAAGGGCCTCTCAGGTCATCAGTCTCAGAGGCCTCCTCTGACTACAGTGTAGATGGATAGGCCTCCCAGACCATCAGTCTCAGGGGCCTCTTCTGACTATTGAGGATAGAGGGGCCTCCTCTGACTAGTGAGGGTAGGGGGCCTCGGCTAGACCGCCAGTGTCAGGGGCCTATTCTGACTAGTGTGGATGGAGGGGAGGGGCCTCCCAGACCACCAGTCTCAGACCTCCGACTAGTGTGGATAAAGGGGCCTCCCAGACCGCCGGTGTCAGTGGCCTCCCCAGACCAGTGTGGATATTGGGGCCTCCTCAGATCCACTAGGGCCTCTCAGGCCATCAGTCTCAGGCGCTTCGACTGTCAAGTATGAATAGAGGGCCTCCTTGGATCCATCACGGCCCCTTGGAGTCCGTGCGTGGGGATTCGTGGAACTTATTTTTACCAAGTTTGTTTATTATGGGAGGTGACGACGTCCTCTCAAATCGAGACGAGGGCCTAGAGTAAAAAGTGGGTGGGCCAAAACACATGGTTGGCCCCCACTCGAAAAGTGGGTGGGCACTTACCCACCTGCCCACCATTGGTGTACCCTATGTTCCAGTGTTGCAAAAGTTGCCGCTGATTGGTGTCTCCAGACACCAAAGATTTTTGTACTCAGTACTCATCATAGAAAAAAATATAATTTTGTACTCACTTTTCAGGGAAACTGAAATCAATGGGTAAACCCCATAACGATAGCATGCCAGTCAAAAGTTAAGTGTCCACTGAGTTAGAAATAAATGTAATGTAACAAAAACAAGCATTACCCAGCCACAGCCCACAACAATCACAAAGTTTAATTCGCCGAAAGTAAAGTCTTTCAATCACTGGAAGAAATTACCCAATCTACAACCACAACCTACAACCTAAAACCTACAATCTACAGCATCACATATGGTAGCTCGTGCTATGTCTGCCCTACCAATGCCAAATTTATAAGCATATAGGGAGTGACCATGTGCTAATTTAGTAAAGGAGAAAATGTAAGCAATTAATTTGTGCAGTAGCATAAGTCACAACTAAGAAATTGGCCAAACATGTCAAAATAGCAATAACAGCAGTGTCCAAGAGCTAAGTGGATTTCTTAAAGGCAATTCCGAGCATTCCGAGCCATTGCTAGATTTTCATTTATCTTCTTTGATGGGGTAAGAAAATACAAATGACATTTTGTAAGCATGATTTCAGAACCTATCCATACAACTTAATGTAAATAATAAAATGATTACAGGCAGTAAAAACAAAATTGTTTAAGTTTTTTAACCATGCAGGTTATCTACGAAGGTAGTCGTAAAGCAGGCGTCACACTTCTTTTTGCAACCAAGGAAAGGCGCTCTACCCAAAGTTGCTTTCTTATCGAACCAAACCAAACCAAACTGAACCTAACCTTACCTACAACCTACAACCTAGAATCTACCACCTAAACCACCTAAAATCTACAACCTAACCTAGTACCTACAGCGCCTCTCCTTGGTTGCGAAAAGAAGTGTGACGCCTGCTCTACTACTACCCCTACGAAGCCCCGAAACATCAATACCCAATAGGTACCCATATCATGCAGATATTATTATCATGTAAAACATTGGACCCAGCCCAATACCATCAAAGGTAAAGTCATTCAATTGTTAACTAGCATACCTACTTAGATTGAATTAAAATATTAAATTCAGTTGGTTTCTATGGAGCATTTAATCAGTAGGTATTTGATTGCATCTGGTTGCTTAGTTTGGTGGGTAAATTTGCAAAGGATGGCTGTCTGCATGGGGATATTGCATAAATTTATTAATATTTTCCGAAGTTGAATTGCGATTGAATCAACATTCAACAATGAAAACCCTAAAACTTACCTGCAACATCAACATAACCTCCACACTGACACCAACTCCACGTCCACACCCTCCGAAGTAATCGAAGTAACTTCACTTCAAAATGGGTGCAAAATGGCACAGTGTATATAAATACAAAATGGCAGATGCATGCTGCATTGCATAACAGGTTGTGCGCCACTTTGGCCTAAGCTGAAAGAGGCCATATAGGGAAATGCCCTGCGCAAATGTTCAAATAAACAGGATATTCAAATCGTGATTTTCAAATATGGTAGCTCTTCATATCAGAACAGCGACGTCTTTCCACTTTGTTCAAAATCTGTGCAAGTCGCGTGAGGTAATAAACCCGATTTATTACAACGTTCTCAGATGTCGCTGTAAATTTTTTTCCCGACCTTTCACGTTAAATCCTGACATTTCAATTTATTGCATCATAAGATGATGTAATAACCTGAAATGTTTTGAAATTCCGGTTTATCGCAACAAAATGATACAATAAATCGGGTTTTACAATGCATCACTCTTTTATTAAAGACGGATATGTATAAAAAAAATTATTGCCAATGCAGCTTTCATGGGATTTGACAAATGTGTTGCCGCATGAGTAACTAAACGTCTACTGGTCTCATTGAATACAGAAAATTACTACGAATTAATTTCCAAAAAGAAAAGAAAAACAAATGCATTTTGCAATTTTTGAAACAAAACTATACCTATGTTTAAAACGTATGCATTTCTTTTTGAAGTTTGATCTTGGGGAAAGTCTGTAAGTTCACTTTTAATATTTATTGAAATAATCCCCACGATAATGCCCGAGAACAGCTCTCGGCCTCACCTTATCCTGGACTCCCGATGATGAGTCCATGATCCGAGCCTGTCGAACGCTGACCTCTCCGCCCCTACCCGGCCCAGACGGCACTTCATCGGCAACTGACCAGCCTCGGGTGACCAAGAACGCGACCCCGTGCCCACCCCGCCGACCGGCTGCGCGGTCAAGGTCATTCAGTCCAGAGGTCTCCGATACTGGCTTTCACGAGCCAGAGGTCTTCGATACTAACTGAAACATCGGTCGACTCGAGACGAGGTCGATCGGAGGCCGAGAAGGCTAGCAACTATTTGTAGTGTTTCGCCAAAACCGGTATGTTTGTGTACGGCAGATCTTGCCGCAGATTATGCGATTTCATTCCGTGTGCGCCCTGTCTAGATTTAAAATACACTTGCTGAGGAGGCATGTCGACAGGCATTTATGTTTTTTTTCAGCCTAAAATGAATAGCAAGCACCTATATCAATAGCTGTCCATCTAAAACAGTGGAATGGTCCAGCCAATTATATTTTATTACAGAAGTGAACATTATTATCAAATCATTTACGCCCACAACAAACCACATATTTAAAGACAAACTCTTATTCATAACCTCATTTACAGAGGTGGAATTTTTAAACCATTCAAACCTAAACAATGTCAAAGCCAGCTACCTCACTCAAGAAAAGGTCGCCTTACATATACCACGACCAACATACGCACGGACGGTGAAAACGGGCACATTGACCGGACAAATGCACCTAGATATTTACCATGCTCCACCCTGCTTCAGATTCGTAGAATATACACAAAACTACGTACCTACAATAGGTACAAGAATAGATCCATAAAACATTGCCTGGTGAAGGAGTGAAACGCTTTCATAACAATAACCGGACACATAAATTGGATGCTTTATGAACCTCTTCACGGTTATTCGTGCTGGTTCATTAGACGTTTTGGCCTCCTGTCTAATCGGGCCCAGAACCGATAACCAATTCACGGTGGAACTAAATGCGACCACAACGGTGTTAATTGTTTATAATTTAGGCATGGGCGGCGCCACCGGGGGGGACGGGGGGGGGGGGGGGACAGGTCCCCCGCTATCGAAAGTTAGGGGGGTACAGTACCCCCCTATCGGCGAGGCCCGTTCAATAGTTGATAATAATGCATTGTAAAGTTATCCGTCGCATTTAATGCATCGTTCGTTAATCAAGGCAGGTTCTGAATAAAGATTGCTGTTGGGATGTATCGCAGGGGGTCCTGGCCATCTGCAAAAGGTGTGGAGCTGTGATGCCTATAAGTTGATCGGCAGGGCCTCGGGGATCGTGCCCCCCCTTTTTTGGGGCGCCAGGCAGGGTTATTACCTCCCCACCCCACTGCCAGACCCCATTGCCGACAAAACCAAGTTAACTGAAATTCCATAGATTTCCGTTTCTATATGGATATTTTCCATTCCTAATTAGTCAAATTCAAGCATGGCAGTTCTACCACAGGAACCATTTGAAATCTATGCCATTTAACCCCAGCACTTGTGGGGAGAAGTGTTCGGATAGATCACAGGCAGGGCCAAAAAAGCACGCAGTAGCCCAAGACCTTATAAATTAGGTAGCATCGGCTCCCTCTCATCAAGGGGTTCGATAGCACTCGTTTTTTTTTCTGCAAAACTAAGTTCGGTCGGCGGCCGAACGGCTGGGGGTCTAATCGAGCCCCCCCCTCCCCTTCTTACGTCAGCGGCTGTGAAAATGCCATTACCAGCTGTTGAAACATGGCAGTTGCTTTGGATGAGTGAACGAAAGTGTTTTAGGTACGTGATACGTGAAAGGTTCTACATGGAAACTGAGATACACCAGCTTATCAAATTGTGCTCACTGTGGTGCGCTCGGTTTTACCTTGACTAGTCTTTGAATTCTGGGGTGAAACAGACCAGTCAAGAAACCTGTTCCATAAGGAGAGCCACTAGGCACTAATGCTAAAGAGATGAGGGATGAGGTTTCCAGAGACCTTCATTGCCTCCCAAAGGGGGTGCCCCGCCATTTGCCAATCCCCATGCTGTGTTGTTACGATTGGAGGGTGAATATGAGAACGATGCAGGTCGTGCCAGCTCGATCATGACGAACACAATGGTGCCGACATCACAGCTCTACTGCCATTTTTGACGAAGTTAATCAACAAGGACCGGATCCTACCCTGGGGCATTTCACCTGCAGAGGCCGCCGGACCTGAGACCCTTTCACTCAATTTTTTTTTTTCAACGGTGCATGCGGCATGCGCTCGTTTTTCCCGCGACGCTCTTGGTAAGTAAAATCCATCAGAAAGTGTGATCAAATAACGGCTGGTGACCTTCCATGACCTAGCATGACCTTTTGTTTGAGTGACCACCAATGACATGACCACTGACGGCTAGCCATTAGCTGCACCCTGCCCGTTGCATATGGATCAGGTGGTGATGTCATGATTCTGAAATTATATTGCAGTTTTGGCGCACTTGTCAGAGCAGAAGACATTCCCACTTTTCCTCCATGGCTATATGATGGTGAAGCCATGAAGCTGACCAGACGTAAGATCGAAAATTTGAAAGTACGAAACGTAAGGATAGTTGGCACTGCTACTCGACACTGACCGACCGGTCGCGAACTTCCCGCCTCCGGATCTCCAGCCGGACACCCAATCCACTCGGCCACGCGGCCAGTATCCCTAAGCAATTCGCAGCTTGTAGGAAACCAGCTTTGAGTTGGCAAGACTGCAAATTTTGATTTAGAGGCAAGGATGCTTGAAAAGGTGATCGATCTTAGGTGTCCTAGGATAAGTTTGGAAACGGGATGCACCATTCGATGTGTTTTGGGCTTTGCCAAGTTTCGCGGCGTTACGTGCCTCGTTTTTTTTTTTGCATACACGATCAGTATCTACTTTTGGGATTTTCGGACAGCTACAGTCCCCGTCCCCCCCCCCTATCGAAAACCCGTGGCGCCGCCCCTGAATTTAGGCTATTAAAATGTGAATGCCATCAATAAACACAAAGTATTTACAAGTGAGCAGCGGTATATGCTCGCTGGGAGGAGGCCTATTACTTATGGAGCCTCCTCGAACTGATGGTCGGGCGGGCCCAGTGCCAAGCCGACTGGGGTCTGGACGGTGGCGCCGCGTAGCGGCCGATCCTGTAAGCCGCCTGCCGTCTGTGTGGCGAACTAAACCGACCGAACTGCCGCTGGGGGAAGCTGGTCGACTGACGGCGACTGAATTCCCTGCTCAGCACATTGGGCATCTCTCTCACCCCGTCCTCTGTGATAATTGAGGCAGTGTTTGGGTTTGAAATGGGCTTAGACAAATGTTTGAAACTCCCGTCCGAGCGAGATTGTTTTGCTCCTGTTTTAGACTGAAAGTTGATGGGACCACTCGAGAGGTGTGCTTTAAAAATCGTGCCAGTCACTGGGACGACATTCGTTGAGCTTTTTGTCTCAGAGTTCCAAGCTGTGGGATATGACGTTTTGGATTTCGGATCCACTCGTTCCACCGTGTATCGTGAGTATTTTCGGCCGGGCGAGCGACTTTCACTGGAGGCTTTCGCTTCCCGATCAACAGGTGACAGGTCGAAGCTCTGCACGTTTTTCGCCTCACGATAGCCCTGTGACCACTGAGCTTCCGCCGGCTGCCACTGCGGCCTGTGGTACGCTCCCGCGGAGGCAGCGTCTGCCGGCCTCACCGTGCGAAGGGTGGAGGGAGAGGAGCGCAAGGTGTGGTACAGGTCAGCGGTACCCGGGCGGTACCTCTGGGCTACCAGAGCTGCGGTACTCCCATCCGATCCACCGCCTGGTACTCGCGCTGCGGACCCCGCCGATGCCCTCCGCAAGTCCTCCCGGTACGCATCCCCAGGGGATGGCACTTCAGATACACGGCTGCTGCCATTAGCATCGCTAGCAGCACTGAAACTGTCCGAATTCACAGGAGCAGCAATAACGCTTGCGACATTGGTAGAAGCAGATGCCACCACGGGGTCATTCGATGTGCTGGCTGCGGTGGATGTTTCGGAGGAGGTCTCCCTGGAGTTGGACAGCGCCAGGAGGTTCTGGAACCTGCGCAGGTAGCTGTCCACCGTCTGCTTGTTGTACGGCGTGTACGTGGGCTGCGGCACGTGCGTCGGCGCGTTGATGATGAAGCTGCACCGGCGACCCTGGCGGCACCCCAGGTTGAAGGTCGGCAGCTTCTTCCCTCCCACCGTCGAGACGGCGTCTGGGGCCGTCTTGCGCGTGACGCTGGTTCCAGTGGGAGGTTCTGCCAGGGGCGCAGCGTCGGTCAACTGGGTGTCCTCTCCCGCTGGGCTCTGCTCAGCAGCCCCCGCCTGTGAGCTGGTGGCTGAAGGTTTGTAGCTGGTCTGCGAGGACGGCAGAGGCCGGGCAGAGCTGGGCCGGCTGGGACGGGCCCCACTGACCGGCCTGGGCTCGGTCGGGTGTGAGCTGGTCGGTCTTGAAGGCCGCCGGTGGGAGGACGAAGAAGGTCGGCTCTGCGGTCGGCTGGAGAAGATGAAACTCTCGCTGGAAGCCGGGTTGACTCCGGAGGTCCCAGTCGGGCGGGGATAGCTCGGTCGGACGTAGCTCTGCACCGCGGGCCGCCTCTGACCCTGACCGGATGAGTAACTTTGACCCGACGTGGAGTAACTCGCGGTGGAATGCCCCTGACCGGCCGTCGAATAGCTCTGGCCTGCCGTCGAGTAACTATGCACGGCCGCCGGTGGACGCGTCACTGGCCTCCTCTGCGCCTGACCGGACTGCGGCGAGCCTTTGAACCCAAACGGCCGCGACGTCACCACGAACGAGGGGAGCTTCACCGGCTTGCCGGCGCTCGCCGTCTGCCCGGTGCCCTCCACTCGGTTACTGTGCGTCCAGTCGGGGGAGCTGGTCGCCGCTGTAGGCCGTTTGACCGACCCGCTGGATGAGTGTCCCGGGTGACTGGCGGAGTGTCCTGTTCCGCTGGCGGAGTGTCCTGGGCTGCTGGCGGAGTGGACAGGCCTCGCTCCGCCCGGCCGCCGGGTCCGGTCCGAGGCGGTGATGATCCAGGCGCCGGGAGCGTGGTACAGCTGCGTTGGCCGCTCCGGGTCCAGCTGGACATTCAGCAGGGTGCTAGGGGAGGCGGCCGGCAGCACCAGCAGCCAGCAGGTCAGCAGTGGCAGCGGCAGCCGCATCATCGCTCCGCCGGGAGGTCAGCCTGACGGAGGAGAACGGTGTCAGTATGGGCCAATTAGAACCAGCGTGCGTCAGTATGGGCAAATTAGAACCATTATGCGTCAGTATGGGTTACGTTGTGTCAGAATGAATAATCCAGAGTTGTTATCTCCCATCTTTGAAGCTTCCTACATCCTACATGTATATCCTCGTATAAGAGAGACTCTGCTGAGGGAGACCTAACATCCGGGACTGGGAGGATGGGGGCTGGCCTATTGCCGTTTCGTCCCTATTTGAACTGGAGCCACGCATATAAAAAATGAGCGTGTGCGACGTAACGAGACGTAGCGACTGGTAACCATACACTTCACACTTTTATATACGCTGAAACCTACACTTAACCCGCGCCCCGTAGGGGTGGGGTGGGGGTGGGGGTAGGGGGAGGCAGAACAGCTCCTTGCTATTTTCCCTAGACATCTCCTAAACAAACTGCAGATATCGTCACCAAACTTTTAGAACCCCTCCAGGCATCAATTTTACACATTGTAGGTAGCCAATTTCTTTTTCAAAGGCTATGATAGGTTGACCACAAGTGACGTCAGAGTGTCGGCAGGTAACAGATCTTAGGGTGTGTGTGTGGGGGGGGGGGGGGCGAAAAGTCCCGTCCCCCTCTACGGGAGGCCTAGGGTTTGCCGATAGCCCTACGGGACGAGGGCACGATACGATACAATGGCTTCACTTTTTGTCTGGGTGAGATATATGTAGGATTTGACCTCAGGTCAGGGTAAGGTCAAACCCACTCAGCTCAAGAAGCTGGTTGAATGAGATCATGCTTATGTAACATGGCTTACACAGATGCCGCATGAAGAGAAAGTATGATGTCAAATGCTAGGTATTAATTATATTTTTTGTATTAACGATGAAGGTGCGATGGACAAGCCAGCAATGTCGAAAATCGACTTTTTCACGAAAAAGTTATTCAATATTCATGTATGTCAGATTAAAAATATATAAGAGGTGCTAGATAAACTTCCAGTTTTATCTCACTAACACTTAGTTCGCAGCCTTTTGCCAAAATCTTGCAACAAAAAAATCTTATATGAAATGCAGCATGGTTGAAACGGCTGAAAGTTCAGAAAGTGTGACAAAAATGGTGGAAGGGTCACAAAAGAGCCGACAGATGAGATGATAGAAGTTCACGAGTGCCGGATAAATCTAGCGTCGCATTATACGCTATGGCATCACGCTATACGAACTTCTTTATCTTCTCTCCATCCTCTCTCTCTCTCTCTCTCTCTCTCTCTCTCTCTCTCTCTCTCTCTCTCTCTCTCTCTCTCTCTCTCTCTCTCTCTCTCTCTCTCTCTCTCTCTCTCTCTCTCTCTCTCTCTCTCTCTCTCTCTTTCTCTCTCTCTCTCTCTCTCTCTCTCTCTCTCTCTCTCTCTCTCTCTCTCTCTCTCTCTCTCTCTCTCTCTCTCTCTCTCTCAGTCTCTTTCCCTGTCCTCTATTTCTGGCAGAAGCACTTGATGCCCACGCTAGGAACAAGAACGCCGTCAGAACCGGCACGACATACTAGGCATAGAAAGAAGCAGTAATTAGCGTTTATTCAAAGCAGTTATGTTTGAAAGCATTTTTGTTGAAAGCAGCAATAGACCGACTACAGGTCTGTTCAATAGATGAGCGCACATGGGAGATTCCCAGATTCCAGGTGAGCGAAGATAAGCCCGTCTCAAGATGGCGCTATATGTAACGCGGAAGCCGTTCAATGGATAACATCTTATAATAAAACACACGTAGGATAGATTGCGATGCTGACCATTCTAGCGGAAGAGACAAGCTTGTACCCCAGGGTAGGTATATTTAATGAGCTTATACCCGACATGGGATGGTATATTGATATGCTTGGGAGAAGCCGCTTGAGATTTGTGCGCTAAGATGTCTATGGATGTGCTATCATCGACTTCAAACAATATCACGCATCTTATATCGTCCACCGGTAAGTGTTCAAGTTCGAACGGCATACAATTATTGTGCTGTCTGAGAAGAGGAAATATTTTCCAAATTGCGCACAATTGATGCATCCGCATCCTTGCAGGCGGCTGATACCCTGCCGCGACCACACCACAGCTCAGACCAGCTGACGACCGCGGGTGTGGCGCGTTTGCCACAAGCCAGCTAGCAGCCCCGGCCGGGCGGCGCACCAGTGGCGAAAGTGGCGCACTCGGTATTGTCGCTGCGCATGCCGGCGTGTCCGGCGCGCTGCGGCATTCGTCTGGCGCGCGTGTGCCCTCACGGCGGCCGTCCAGCCGCTCGTGAAGGCTCGCACCGTCAGAGGCGGATCCAGCTCAGAGGTTTGGGGGGGGGGGGCAAACCATAAAAATTTATCGATTCTTTCCATGCATCGTCCATAGGCGTAATGTTAAAATCATGCCGTTTGGGGGGGCAAATGCCCATTTTGCCCCCCCCTGGATCCGCCACTGCGCACCGTGTCGCCTAGGGCAGATCATCCGACCCAGCGATCATGGGACCGACGTGACATGGCGTTGTGCGGGCCGTGCCCGACAGTCTACATCCATGCCTCGGAAGACTGGAAGTAGAAAGCAAATGCAGTGGCATGCTCTGAATTAATTTTGATGAGGTACAACATAAAGTCCATGCCTATTTACGGGAAATATTACATATAAACGTCGTCTACTATAGTTCTCTTCAAATCGTTGAAAAACACATCAAAATTAAACGATCGGGCGCTTTATTTCGGTGAGCAGGTTCAGTTCGTGGTGCGTCTGGCTGTGGTATCGTTTGATTTGGTCAGTGTCTGATGCAGGGGCGGATCCAGAAAATCTCCAAGGGAGGGGCCATTAGAAACCAGGAGGCCCCCCCCATAATCCCACCTGTTGGAGGCCCCATCTTCCCACTTGTTGGGCCCCCCCCCCCAAAAAAACTGCGTCTATTGAGCTTATCTAGCTGTTCAGGCAACATCTCAACATCTGTGCAGGCTTGGAGGCCCTCTGTGCAGGTTAGGAGGCCCTGTAAAAGTGGTCATCTCTGTGAGTATAAGAGACCTCCAAGTTATGAAAAGCTTTACCAATCTTCTAACAAAGAAGTCTTCTCAGCTAGTCTTCTAAGAAATAACTAAGTGGGTAGGTTAAAAAAAAAACTCATCGGATTTCGGCCACTTTATTTTCAGGAGGCCCCCTTTTCAGCTTTTTAACTTTTTAACTTTTTATTTTATTTTTGAAAAAAATCGGCCAAGGGGGGGGGGGGCATGGCCCCCCCCTTGTATCCGCGCCTGGTCTGATGGGTCACAGAGGGCAAACATCACCGGTTGGGAGCTGCACGGTCGGGCACTGGTTAGCCCGGCGCCCCCGGCAGCAATCAGCGACCGGCAGCCGGCGGCTTATTTGGTAACCCTGTGACGTCATGGGAGACGAGCAGCTGATGGTAGGAAAACACTGCCGATCACCAGAGGTGGCGACCAGATGGGCGGGTGCCGATCCAATTATCGCAGCCAGGGGGAGCGCCGGGCGGCCAGACACCCAAACACACAGACATACCTATGTCTCTCTGTTTGTCGGTCTGGCTGTAGGTATTACCTTCAGCCAGACCGACAAACAGAGAGACATATACAGGGTTGGGCAGATAAATTGGGACAAAATACGTATTTGCATTTAAAACGCCGTAGCTTAGAAATTTGTAAACATAGGCATTTCAAATTTGGATCACATATTGTCACACCAATTTTACACATTTATCACTAAATATGGTCACCGTGGTCCACCTGCATCAGTCCTTGTCGGTGCCTGGACTGACTGCACGCGCGGCGAGATCTCCCGTCTGAAATGGCTCGTAATTGTAGCCGACTGGCACTGCTGAGGCTCGTCACAGTCACATGGGGACGTTCGTTAGACTCACCCGCAAAAACGCCCCAGCAACCAGAACTTGTGTGGGCTGAGGTTTAATGAGGAAGGGGGCATTTTCCCTTGGGTACAGTTTGCGGGATCCTCCGTTTCAGGAGATTTTGTATTTAATTTACTGTATACCGGGGAGCTGACTCCTCGAAGAGCATCACCCCATGCAGGATGTTGCCTTCTTCCATCTTGTTGGTTCGAACTGCCGGAATAATGGTTAGGTACCCTTTAATGGCGAACCCCCTCCCGATTCCGTAAAATAAGGGGGCCCCACGTGACCGTCAGAAGTCACCGAGTGGAATGCCATCACCGATGTCTGCTGCATGTTTTTTTGGAACTAATATCACGTCTTCTGGGCTGGTTGCGATGTTACATGGTGTTTGCAGTTGTTCATATGCTCGGTTAAGGGGACACCATCGTCAGAAATGACCTGCACGTGCTTGCTCGCTTCTCCAAGCCCTTCAAGAGGAAACAATCTTTTTAACGTCACAGCTGCTTCAACATCTATGTTAACAGGTTGATATGCATCAATGCATAAGAGTACATGTTTGAGGTGCTGGTATATCGCTTTCTCATGGCGCGGCTACCCAAGGCCATCTATAGAAGGTACAGTCACTCCCCCGCCGACCAATCAGACACAGATCCTGAGTGACGTCACCCCTGATGCTCGAAAGGGGTACTCCATTCCTTCACAACGTAAAAATGACTAACTTCACTTGAAGATTGTTGGTGACACTCTACACACATCGCTCAACCATTGATGTCATTGGAAAGTCCAACTAATTTTCTAGCGATAAAAAAGAGCAGCAATATGCTAAGAAATGGCCTGTTTTGAAGATATAGACGATTTAAAAACCCTCTGCAGTTGCAGGAAAGCAACGTAAAAACGCATCGAGCTTATATTTTTACTATGAATAAATCATTTTTCAGTAAGTTTTTAGATATGGTATCGATTTATACAACAACTTTATTACAATATTTTTATTACTTAGAACTTTATTTCAAAATAATATTTTCAAAAATGGCAACTGTTGGCAAGTAGCTTTGAAGCGATTGTGGCGCGCCGCGCCATTATTGTCTTGAGGCCCCCATATGATGTCATCAAAAGTGGAGTGACATGGGCCTGCGGCTACCTTCC